AAGAGGGTTTTTCACTGTGTCCAATCTGCAAAAGAACAGTTTTCTTGATTAATAGGAATACTTATTTTATCATTAAGGTTGATTAATTCCATTAGTCTGTGAGGTTTTAAGTCATTCAGTAACGCCACTCTGAATCAATTATTTGCCATGGCAACGAGTAGAAAGAAGACAGTGATTATAGCAGGAGCTTAACAAATGCATATAAGATGATCGCTAAATATTCAAAACAGTCATTACCAACAGCCTCATCAACATACTTTACAGTACAGAACTCTTAAATGTCGACTTTTAAAAGCTGGATATTGTATCTGCTCGTGTGCACAGAAATGGTTCTTGGCAATGGAAGCCATTGATTTTCTCACTTCATCTGTATGGCATCTCCTCTTTCCTGCCAGCACAGCATGTAATATGAGACTGCAAGTTTTCTTTTACCCAAAGCAATCAATTTTGCTTAGCCAAACTCCCTAGCATGGATGGAGCCCGCCTAAGTACCTGTCTCCACCGACACACAGCCCTGTATGCCGTCACCATCTAAAAAAAAGCTTTCAGCGTAATAAAAAAACATGTCTGAATCAGAACCCAACCAATCTAATAACAGCCAGACCAGTCGGTATGACTACAGAGCGTTAACTGTGTCACTGATAGGGAGGGGGTATGTGCGAGCAAGTCCGCGAGAAAGGCCAAGAAATCAAAGAAATCACTGATCTTCAATTCCCCGATGAGATAATCCACATCACATTTTCTTCTATGCTATCACTTTCACAGCATGAAGTAAGATCTGGTTTCACACTTTAAAAGCAAAAAGCGTTTATGACTTTTCTTTTTTGTATGAAAAACAAAAAAAAAGAAAAAATCCAATATATGAGGCCATACGTAAGGGAATTCTAAGCCTGACTGAGCCTTATTGATATCTATCTGAAACTCCCTCAGCCACCATCAATCTCACATATTGTTAAACAGAAAGACTGGGAGGTAAACGTTCACTTAGAGACGTGTCTTGTCCCTTTCAGGAGACATGTTTAGCCTTCACTTCTGTAATGAAAACAAATAGATGGGCTGGTTTCATAGAGATAGAAAGCCTTGGACTGCAGCCAGAGATAACAGGGCGCAACTCTTCCAACTGAGGCAGTGTGGGTGTTGGATTCAGAAAGACTGACATGGAAATAAACAGAATTTACAACCTATTACTGACTGTTTCCAAGAAGGATACTGAGAAGCAGCTAACAAAGGTGGTTTTTTAAGAGATAATTTAATTCTCAACTGGCATGAACAGTGAAGTCCTTCCCTATGAAATATAATTGAATCCATTGGCATGCATTACCATGCACAACCATCAATTATTATGCCAGGGAGGTAAGAGCTAATCCTTCATCAGAGTGAAAGCCAGCTATCTGCAAGAACAGGGGTGTCTGTTGTTCATTTTGCTGCTAATACATTGATTTATCTCTACAGTAGCTGCAACAGATAACAGACTTGGCTCAGATTATATCTCACCTGTAGCCACTGCGACTGGTCGCTATGACCAGCTGTCCAAGCGTTGACCTTGCCCTGCTTGTCTAAACGGGCTTTCCCAGGCTCCCAAGTGAACATGTCCATGTTGAGCGTCCTGAAGATGCTGGAGGCTGTGACCTGATAGTCCTGGATATGGCCTGACTTCATACCCAGTGGTTCAGAACAGCCTGGCAACAACAAAAACAGATTGGCTCTAAACTCTTTTTTTTTTTTTTTTTTTTTACATCTAACCCCAGGCCTCCTGAAAATGGATTCAGTGCTGACACTACTTAAAAACAAGAGGAACAACTGTGCAAGAGGCATACTGGAGTGGATTTCCAAATTCCAGTATGATGCATTTATGATAATGATGGTGATTAGTGTATTCAGTTGGATAAAGAAAGCTCACTCACCTGTTAGCTCACAACCGAGCAGCTCCATGCGTAAAGTACAGTGCCTCCTGCAGACTTGGGGGTAAATGCGCACGTACTGGGCTTCAATGGGAGGGGTGAAGGAGTTGGCTGATGGAGCGTTGTTATCGACATTTCCTCTGAAAATCTGTTGCAAGGGATGAAATAACAGCAGATGGGGGGCGGGGGAGGATGGTGAAGCAGATCAGTTTTCAATAATGTGGCAGTCTATCCACCGCTGTCTCTAGTGTCTACTCCACGCTCAACAAATTGCTGTCATTCAAGGTCAATGAGCTAGAATTACAGGGAAAAATAGACAATTTGTCGCACCATTTGAGCCAGTAATTCATAAGAACAGTGGTGTGTTTTAAATTAGTGCTCCAATTATATCACGTTACCTTCTGGAGTGTTTCATCCAAATCGCTGAAGATAGCCTGACAGAAACTATATGATTGGAGCGAAAGATGTACAAACAAACATAGACATGTCATAGCCGTGTCTAGCTTTGACTGAGCAAAACAAAAGAGCTCTAAATGAAAAATATCAAAGCCCAGACGTAGAGCATACAAATCTGACAACATATCTGATAATAAGTTTGGAGGTCTGGTTGTTTCGGAGCTCGGCCAAAGAGAGGACAGTCGTGGCTTGCTGTCAGGAATGATAGAATGCTCTGTGGCCTATTTGGTGGCTGTTCATCCCCAAATAGTATAAAAATTCAATCTAGAAGTCATAAAAGTGGAGGGGGGTAAGGGGCAGCAGGATGGGCCCGGTGTGCGCTAGCTAATTAAAAAGCCATCTCATCATGTCCTCCACCCTGTCCTTGACTGAGTGCACAGTCTCTAGTCGATGTGTGCGCATGTATGAGTGTGTATTTCGTCTGTCTACCACAGAACAAGAAGCAATGGGTGACGATGGATGCGTACACCTATGTCTGTGTGCCCGTACAAGTGTCTCACCATATCCTCATCTTTGCCCTTGACTTTGTATGTTCTCCAGGTCTTCCCGTCATCACTGTAGGCTACTTTGTAAGACTTGACGTACTCTGGGCTGCCGATACGCTTTGCACCCTGGGTAATTAGGCCCGTGACCCTCATTCTCCTCTGCAGGTTTATCTGTGGAGTACAAAAAAACACAGATAGGCTGAAGATGAAATTCTAGCTTTATTTTCAGACACTGTATATAGAGGTGTAAGTGTCTGTGAGCATGCATGTCATCGAGTTCAGTTCACCCCCTTGTATCTTTTCTGTCAGGGCCATCCATCTTATTCTAAAAGTCTGTGTCCAAATAGAACATTTAATCAATTGTACACCCCATATCCAGTCTGCCCACACTGTGCAAACTGTCAATATGGTGCCAGTGTAAAGCAGCTTGGTGAGCCAAGAGGAAAAAGAGGCACTAAGAAAGAGGAAAATGACGAATGGCTTCCATAGATCCTACTCAGCACCCACAAACCAGATTCATTACATATAGACCAATATCTTCAGTACCTTTCCCTGACAGCTCATTTTGATACAGTATATGCTCACCGGCCATTTCATTAGGTACACCTTGCTAGCATAACATTGAACCCCGTTTTGCGTTCAGAACTGTCTTAATTATTTGTGGCAATGATTCAGCAAGGTGTTGGAAGCATTCCTCTAAGGCTGTGGTCCATATTAACATCCTTATTTGGTCTGGCATCTGTACAGTGAACTCCTTGTTCTTTTCAAGAAACCAATCTGATATGATGTAAGCTTTGTGAAATGGTGAGTTAACCTGCTAGAAGCAGCCATCAGAAGACACGTAAACTGCGGTCATAAAGAGATCAACATGAGAGATCAACAACAAGAGAGCAACACTACTCAGATAGGCTGTAGCATTTAAACAAAGCTCAACTGGTAGTATCAGTGCCAAAATGTGCCAAGAAAATATCCCCGCCATCATTGCACTGTTGATAGAAGACAGGATGGGTCCATGCTTTTGTGTTTACACCACATTCTGACCCCATCATAGGAGAAATTGAGACTCATCAGACCACACAGTGTTTCTGCAATCTTCTCTTGTTCAATGCAGGTGAGTTCATGTGAATGGTTGTCACAGTTTCCTGTTCATAGCTGACACCCGGCATGGTCTTCTTCTGCTGTTGCCCATCTGCTTCAAGATGTTTTCCTGCATATTTTGGATGTAATGAATGGTTATCTGAGTTACTGTTGCCTTCCTGTCAGGTTAAAGCAGTCTGGCCATTCTCCTGACTTCTGCCATCAACATAGCATTTTCAACCAGAGAAATGCTGCTCACTGGATATTTTCTCTTTATGTGGACCAATGTAAACCCAGTAAATCAGCAGTTTCTGAAATACCTGCCTGGCACCAATCACCTTTCTTACCCTTTCTGATTCTCTGTTTAAACTGCAGGAACTCCTCCTGACCATGTCTAAATGGCTAAATGCTCTGAGTTACTTCCATCTAGGGCTGTTCGATATAACGATATATATCGGATGACGATATAAAAACGTCTATCGTTTCATTTTACGCTATCGTTTGTTTCGTGGTGTCGCAAAATAAACTGTTTACGGCAATATTTTTTCATTATTTTGATGGTCACTGTAGTGGCTATAATAATTTCTTAAAGTTCTCTCTTTCTCTTACATTTAATATAACCACACTACAGACAGACAAGTGTTTGTTTTTATGCATTGTCGTTAGCAACAACGACGGTAAAACCTCCGCGTGTCCGCTTGTTCCACATAAACCTTTCACAATAAAGCTCAAGATCCTGTTGAGACTTTTCCAAATAAACTGAATCACGTGAAAGATACAGAGTGTTTACGGATGAGAAGCAAAAAAGAGCCGCCAGGTGCTAAAAATAAACCTTGGACTCAAACGTTAGAACAGGCTTTTCCCCGCAGCACGCCATGTAATAAATACTCGCAAAGAAAACGGCGGCTGTTACAACTTATGTCTAAAAATGTATAGTTTCATGCATCGGTTAAAACACTCGACTCCAGCTACACGACGCCCAGCTGGAAACACTTCACGCAAGTCGAGCTGCCCGAGATTCACAGAATTTACAGAAAATGTTACATTTTTGTGATTTATATCGTTAACGGACGATAGATGTCTTAATATCGGGATATGAGATTTTGGTCATATCGCACAGCCCTACTTCCATCTGATTTCCACATAAAATATTTGGGTTAATAATAACCAATTACACCAGTGTAACTAATGAAATGGCCAGAGGATGCATTTTCAATATTTTCCTGAACATTTTCTTTTGGCAAAGCAGCAGCATGTTTGACAGCGTGTCGATTTTCCAATCACTGGACTTTCTTGGATACAAAGTCCATATATATATATAGAGTGTTTTACAAAAACCGATGGTATTAACGGTGAACTCAAAAGAAACAAAGTGTCTCTTTAAGGATCCTGTCTCTTCAATATCAGTGCAGAAGACTTGATGGTGTCAACACCAGCTTGTCTCGGTGATAGTCGCTGACAGAGTTTTACATTTCTGAGGAATACTGATTGACTGGAAGAAACCTCAGCCTATCACACCGGCTGGTTCTTCTTCTCTATTCACAACTGCAGCAAGTTTGAAAGACCTGTGAGTAATATTAGACCCGCCACATCTATGCTTCCCTACAGTCTTTGTCTTCAATCTGTCAGCACTGGTTAAAAAAAATGCCACTCGCCTGTAATTTCTGGTGAGCTTGTATAAAAAAAATGAGACAGCTGATGACAGTTGATGACAGCTAACTTCACTGTGGCAAAACGCAGAAGCCTGTGGTGACTAAGGAGTGATGCTGTGTTCATTGTACTCACAGACACATACTATTTGCCATTTATTACAGTCAATTTTAACACTGATTAAAAAAAACCTGTGTGTGTGGGGGGGGGGAGTAGAGCCAGAGGGCAATGGGCAATTCTCAGACCAACATAGCCTCTCAGACTGTGACAAATAAGATAAAGAAAATAAGAGCTGATGACAGTTATTCTTTGTTGGAACTACATTGAAATGAAACAGCGTCATTTTCACCAAAAAAGGCTCATCTATCTCATTCCCTGTCAAAATATAAAAACACAGCTGTCTAACTTTCCATTTCTGTGCAGAACAGATGGGTAACAGTAGCACACTTCTGAGGAAGTATTAGGCAAAGGACCATTAACCTGGGACAGCCAAACCAATAAAAGAAATGCAGACTAAAACAGAATTTTAATTACTCCTATGAATTAGGCTGGTTCTGTGTGAGTCAGTGCTGCTGTTATTGTGTCTGTGCATTTCACACAGCAACTTAGTGAAAAGAAAGAAGCCTGCACTTCACTTTATGTTTGTTAGCTAAAGTCTGTTTAAGAGCACAAACCCTTTAAAAGCCTGTGCCAAAAATGGAACTGGCAGTGCGACTACATTTGCTGTGGTATTCTGCGGGCTTGAGCACATTTTCTGGTAAACGAGTGGTAACATTACTATGAAATAAGGCAATTTACAAGTAAAATATTTGAGAGCACGAGCTCAAGTTATACTCTCCTTTTTCTGTTATTGAAAAAGCAGAAATGCTCTAAGCATTGTCTCCTGACGACATTCGAGATTAGAGCATCGCCTCTAACAGATCCAGCGCTGTTTATGATGGTTATCATCTATGCTTGAACTGTCAAAAAAAGAAATAAATATTTTACAGCAGTGATTTGTATCTTAATTTCCACTTTTAGGGCTACGACTCAATTACGCCAATTTTTTTCTACACGCTTAAACCAACGTATCATGGTAATTATACATGAGGAAACCTCTTAGAGCCTCGGAGCCGCAGTGACCCACACTTTCCCATTCACAGCATTTCTTTGCTCTTCTCATTATTCTCCACAGAGATAGATACTTCTTGCACTAATTAGAAGCCCTGTCACTAAAAGGCCACCGCTGGGGTAATTGGGGTGATTCTTCACATTTTAATTCACCACTCAGAAAAGGACCTCTGTCGCTCGAGTGCTAATAGTGATGCATGTCTTTGTTAAAAAAAGAAATGTAAAATAAATATTTACAATGAGAAAACAAAAGAAAGAAATCAGGTACCTAGCAAATTTGTAAGACTATAGCTTTCTATGTTTGTCTAATTTTACAAAATCATAACTTTATAACTATATAAACTATAACTTTATAAACTGCTAGCAAAATTTTGTTGACATTTCTCTGATATGGGTTACATATTATGTATCTGTGCAGTTTAGGGTCATTGCTAATGAGACTGAGTGACTCAGTATTTAGCACAGTTTGATCTTTTTCCCTTTTCTATTACTTTTGGTCTGCAGCTGCAGCTCTCGTCTAAAAAACAATTCAGATCCGCATTCAGAGGTTGATGTCTTGCGTAGTAGGATGAGCTGGCATTTTAGATATAGTTTGCTATTGAAGGGGTTTTTTTTCATTATAACCTAACAGAGAGCATACACTTAGCATACACTGTGTACTCTGTAAATTTGGTTTAGATATAAAATAGTAACACTGCAGCATATTAAAAAAAGAAGTGAAAAGAATGAACTTTTACCCTTTCACAATTTCACTCTCTCTTGTTCCAGACACAGACAGCAACCTGTGTACGAAGCACTCAGTAAAATGAGCCTCTAAAGTAAAAAAAAAATCTACATCAAATATTTTCTGTTCTCAGACTCTATTTGCAAAACAAAGAACATATCCTTTGTTTGCACAGCATGATTCAACCTGTTTTTCCCTGTAATGTTTTCAGTACCGCCAGAAAATGTTCAGCATAACTGTTCGAGAGGCATAAAGAAAATATACATACATACTTAAGGTCATTAACACGAGAGCTTTAATTTTCCACTCATCCTTTGAGATTGCCTAAAAAAACTATTTTTGAGAATTTAGAGAGCCAAATTCATAATTAAAACAAAAATGCAACCTGTGCTAATACATGTAGATAATTCAGCCATTACTGCTTGTTTCTATCTACATTTGTAGTCCCCTGCCATAAAAATACATGTCAGAAGCTAATTGAGTTATGCATAATGACTAGGACTAAAACAATTTGTCAGCGAATGGCAGCTTGGCTCTGAGAAATTATTATAGCCATTTTTCATTGTTTCTTCACATTTTGCAAGCAGAATGGATAATTGAGAAAATCATT